GGCAGCGGGAGGAGGCGGCCCGGCCCTCGGTGCAGCCCGAGAGGGGCCACTGGGCCGTGCCCCGCTTTTCTGAGCAAGGCTGAGGAGCGGGCGAGGCTGCGTGGTACAGCTACAGAAAAGAGCGAGAAGGGAGAACGGTCTTCACCAGAGAGGCCCAAATTTCTCTTAAATACCAGATTTGGCCAGGCTGAAAGCGTACAGGAGTCTTCACAGTACTGCAGGCGCCAATGTCTAGTGTACTACAGTCACTCACGAGTACCAGCGTGTGCTGAACACGTGGGAATTGCGCATTTTTTTTAATCCAGTAGATCTTGGTCAATGTTAATCGCTTGCATACAAACCTTTAAAGGAACTGCCTGGTGGAGATGTGCGTTTCCGAGGGCCAGGGAGAGAAAGCTTGAGGTTAATCTTCCCTCTCAGAGCACGAGTGTCCCAAGACTGATTTTTGGGAACAGGAAGTGAAAGTTCATGCTAAAAATATCACGTTTAAGGCTGGGAAACAGAAGGAGAAAAACCGCCCTGACAAAAAATCCCAGTGTGACGCAGTTCCTAAGAGCGGGAGTCATGCTGCACGTGCTCTCCCTGTCTAGATACAGTGAAAGCTGCTTGTAAAAGATGCTGTGTTTGGCTGGTAGGCAGCATCTCCTTTAGCACTTTCCTCTGTACTGGGAATAAATAAGCAGCATCTATTTGCACGCTGGAAAACCTTGCGCTCCGGGCGGTTGATTCCGTGGAAGCAGCACAGTGCTTTTCCTTTCTACCCAAGATCCCAGTAAGTGGACAGAGGCACAGAGGAAGGCAGCACTCGAGGCACCAACGGCTGGGCTTGTGTCATTGCCACCTTCCTCCACAGGCACGGCTGCCAGCACGGCCTGTGCCGAGGGACTCAGCTGGGGGGCGGGAGCCGCAGCCCCTTGGTGCGCCTTGGCCAGCAGGCAGGCATATGCAGTGCCCTTCCGCTTGGGAAGGCCCGCTTGGCGCCTACAGCAGGAGCTGGAGATGAGTTCCAGACACAGGGACCACGCGGCAGCATGTTTCGGGGTGGTTCACGTCTTTGTGTTCCAAGTAATCGATGGTTTAGCCATTTTGCTACCCAGGATGCTTGAAGCGGGAACGTGCAGGCACAGGGAGAAATTGGTGGCACCACGCCTTGGCCAAGCTCTGTGGGGCTGAACCGTCCATGGCTGTAAAGCACAAAGTGGTGAGAAGGTCCTGTAAGATCCCACACCGTGCACTGTCCCCTCAAAGGATGGCTCAGAGCTGCTCATGGGAGAGCAGGGCTACCAAGAGAGCCCAACAGAAGCAAAAGACAAGAAAATACAAGCAATGTTGTCAGGAAGAGGTAATAAATACGTCTATTCATGGAGAACAATGCAGCAGTGCAATGTTTTATTGAAAAAAAAAAAGTCATCTCACTTGATACCTCAGAAGACTGCGTCGCAACGTTGGTGGGCTGCACCGTAGGAGAGCTACATCGGGGACGCCAGCACAGTGCTGGGTGCCTCCTGCCGCATGGGCCCGAGAGCCCTCCCCTCGCGCCCCTGGGGTCTCCCAGTCGCTAACGACTTCCCGCGAGGAGAGGAGAGTTCACCCAGGTAGGCTTAATGCCCTGCTTCCTACCACAGCGCAGTTGGCTCAGTCTGGCTTGTGTCTCCTAGTCACCTCCGAGCTCCCTGGGGACAGTTGTTTCTTCAAGCACAGGGCTTGCTGTTAAGCTGCTTCCTTTTTTTTTTTCCTAAAAAAAAACCCCACCCCACATCTTTGCCCTTTAGAAGAGTCCAACGTACGATTATAGTGCAAGAGGGCTTGGTACAAGTGAGCATTACCAGCATGCCGTGGGGGGACAGTCCTCCCCTACAAACACATCATCGTAGGATTAAAAGAACATCGTATCTCCAGAGAGAAGCGGTAGTGGGTCACCGTGAAACAGCTTTCAAACCAACCCACTTAAAAACAAGGTCAGGAAAGTCTCTAAACAATCAAATACATTCACTTTAAAAAAAACAAAAAAACCAAAAAAAAACCCCAAAAACCATTTAAGAACAGAAACTGTCGAGATCGCCCCTTTTACTCCCCGCCCTCCCTCACCCTGCAAACACTTACATATGCTGCAACTACGAGCTGCTCCTTGACCGGAGGCAGCGAGGAATGACCAAACACGGCAGGAGATGCAGAAGGAATCAAGTTCTGGTGACAGGCACTTAGTGGGGCTTGGGAGGGCAGCAACAGCAGTGTCTCAGGGCCCGTCTCTGTCTGTGGCGGGGGGGGGCGCCCCCCCGGGGGGGGCCGGGGCCC